GGAGGGGCACGCGAGCGGGGGTGAGGGGAGGGGGAGGGGGGGGGGGGGGGGGCGGACCCGCGTCCTTGGTGGAGGCGCGCTGCGAGTCGTTGAAGTAGGCTGGGACGGTGACGACAGCGTTCTTGATCTCGGAGCCGAGGAAGGACTCGGCCACCTCCTTCATCTTGACGAGGACCATCGACGAGATCTCCTCGGGGAAGAAGTCCTTGGTCTCGCCCTTGTAGTCGACCTGGATGCAGGGGCGGTCGCCGTCCTTGGCGATCACCTTGAAGGGGAAGTGCTTGAGGTCCGACTGGGTCGCGGAGTCGGAAAAGCGGCGGCCGATCAGGCGCTTGGCGTCGAAGACGGTGTTGCGCGGGTTCATCGCCGCCTGGTTCTTGGCGGCGTCGCCGATCATGCGCTCCGAGTCGGTGAAGGCGACGAACGAGGGCGTGGTCCGGTTGCCCTGGTCGTTCGCGATGATCTCGACGCGGTCGTTCTGCCAGATTCCGACGCACGAGTAGGTGGTGCCCAGGTCGATACCAATGGCGGGGCCCTCAACTTTGCTGTCCTTGCCCATGTTTGTGTTTGTGGTGCCTGTGTTGCAGAGGGCGGCGGAGCGTGAACGGAGCGGGAACATTGGGCGGCGAGGAGGGGTGGCGCGAGAGCGAGCGAGAGGAGGAGCGGGAATTTGCGTGTGCGCGCGGGCGCCGCAGGGCGGCGGCGGCGGCGCGGAGAGGGCGCCGCGCAGGGCGGCGGCGGCGGGGCGGAGAGCCGCGGGCGCGGGCTAGAGAGAGGCTGGTGCGGGCGCCTACACACACGCGCCTTAGGAAGAGTCGCGTGCCTTAGGAGAAGCTCTGGATTCCAAATTTTCGCGTTTCTTTCTGCCGCGGGCTCAAGCTCGCCACGCGGTGTCGCCAACGAAAATGGGTGCACAGCGAGAGCCCGTCGAGCACGTTCTGTCCGAGCGCGGCGTCGACGAGGAAGCACACAGCATCATCGTTGGATGCTAGCGCTGCCAGACCTTTCGCCTTGCGCGTCGTGGGTGGGGGCGCTGGAGTGCCTGCAACGACCGAAAAGAATTTTACAACAAAACTCCCTCGCACGACACTGGGCACGGGACTGGCGCGCACTGGCACTAACACAGGTACGCCAGGGGGGGGGGGGCACGGGTTGAACTAGCGCTGAGTGTGTTACGTACTGTGTGCGTGTAGTACGTCTTGAAGTTGCTTTGTGTCTACGTCTTCGCCCGGACGGATGAGTCCCCCCCCCCCTTCCCCCCTCCCCGCCCTTTCCGGTCGAGATGTGGCGCACCGCACAGCCCCACTGTCTCTCACAGGCGACAGAAAGGCACAACTCTCAGTGAGAACGATGGGCTTGTCCGGAGCCCCACGGCATTAAAAGTGCCAAGGCCCAGTGCGCGTGGGTGACCGGTGTGGGGGGGGGGGGTCACGTCACTGCATCCTCTGCCGGTTCGTCCCGTCGCCTCTTCTTTGTTCTCGAATGTTCTTCGATCCATCCTTCACGAAGCCCTCCCATGTAGCTAGCG